TGAAGCCATCAAGAGATGGACACAAGAACTTGAAGAAGCTTTGACTGTTGCAGAGGCTGAAGCCAACAGACGTATCAAATTATTGAAACGGTTGATTAATATTACTGAAAATCTCATTGAACAAGATTTCAGCTTTTTATACAATCCTTCTCGTGACTTGTTAGTCATTGGTTACAATGTTGAAGCTGATAGAATTGACCAGGCTCACTACGACATGTTTTGCTCAGAGGCTCGTCTCATCAGTTATGTTGGTATTGCTTTAGGTTATTTCCCAGTGAAGCACTGGTTCTCAATGAGTAGACTCATCACAACTCAAGGAACTCATCCTGCTCTATTATCTTGGTCTGGTTCTGTTTTCGAATATTTACTTCCACTCAACGTCATGCCAAACATTCCCGGAACTCTTCTCGACTCTACTTATCATGCAGTGGTGTTGCGTCAAATTGAATATGGTAAACAAAAGAATATTCCTTGGGGTCAAAGTGAAAGTGCCTATAACTTGATGGATGCCAATCTCGTTTATCAGTATGGTCCATTTGGTGTTCCTGGTTTGGGACTTAAGAGAGGTCTTTCCAATGATTTAGTTGTTGCTCCATATGCCACAACCATGTGTTTGATGATTCTTCCAAAGCAAGCCACAAAGAACTTGAGACGTTTGACTGAAATGGGGTTGTTGGGATGTTATGGTATGTTTGAATCAGTAGACTTTACTCCACACAGATTGAGAGGTAATATCGATGCCCAACCTATCAAGTCATTCTTTGCTCACCATTCTGGAATGTCATTCCTAAGTTTGGTTTATTGTCTCAGAAACCAACCAATGCAAAGAAGATTTATGGCTGTTCCTGAATTTGGTGCCAACATTTTACTCCTGCAAGAAAAGATTCCAACTGTTCCTCACATTTCAAATCCAAATGAAAAAGAAACTGAACGTTGGAAGAATGTCGGTTATAACCTTCCAAGCGCCAATAGACAATTCCATGGTTTGCACACATATCCTGAAGTACACATGCTCAGCAATCATTCACTCCATGTCATGGTAACTGTCAATGGAGGTGGCTACATCAAGTACAAGGACATGAGCATTACAAGATGGCGTGAAGATGCCACTTTGGATGGATTTGGTGTGTTGACTTACTTTAGAGATTTGAAGGACAAGAGTGACGTATGGTCAGCAACTTCAACACCTATTAAGGCATCTAACGATAATAACTATTCTGTTACATTCAGTCAAGCTCGTGCTGAATTTAAGAGATTACACAGAGGTATTACTACAGACACCATTGTCACTGTGTCACCTTTGGATGATGTTGAAGTGAGACGAGTTAGAATGACTAACAATACTTCTCAAGCAAAGGAAATTGAATTCACAAGTTATGGTGAGATTGTGTTGAATCAAGGACGTGCTGATGCTGCACACAGAGCCTTCTCTAATTTGTTTGTAGGAACAGAAATTCTTCATGAACAAAACGCCATTCTCTTTTATAGAAAACAAAGAGATCCAAAGGACAAGAAAGTCTACGGATTCCATATTTTGCATGTTCATGAACCCAAGAACATCATTGGCGAGAGAAGCTTTGAAACCGATCGAAGCAGCTTCTTAGGTAGAGGTTACACCATGCAAAGACCAAAGGTAGTGTGTGACGAACCTGGACCGCTTTCGAATACAGCTGGATTCCCTCTCGATCCAATTTTCTCAATTCGTCAAGGAATGAGAATTAAGCCAGGAAGAACCGTTCATATTGATTACATCACTGGTGTTGCATTCTCTCGAGAGGATGCACTTGGTATCATCAAGAAGTACCAAAACAAGAAGACCACTAATCACGTCGTTGATTTTGCTTGGGTTGCATCTGAGAAGCTTTGCTTTAGATTGGGTATCACTGAAATTGAAGCTCAATTGTTCTCCAAGTTGGCAGGTTGTATTCTTTATTCAAACCCTCGATATCGTGCTCCACCTGGTCTCATTACAAAGAATCGTAACAATCAATCTGGATTGTGGAAGTTTGGTATATCAGGAGATATTCCTCTCATTCTTGTTCGTGTTTGTGATTTGGAGCAATCATTCTTCATGCAACAAGTTCTTCAAGCTCATGCTTATTGTCGTTGTAAGGGAGTTGTATTTGACTTGGTTATTTGGAACGATGAGACTACACATTATCGTGACTTGTTGAACCAAACACTGCACCACTTGATGTCGCACATTCCAGGTTCTACTGAATTATTGCATCAACCAGGAGGTATCCATCCTGTTAGAGGTGATAGCTTGACTTCGTTCGAGACTGTATTATTGTACTCTGTTGCTCGTGTAGTTTTATCAGACAATGGTGGTAGTCTAACGGATCAAATTAACAGAACCTCAAAGAAGGGACTCGTCGTTCCTGCATTCCAACCACTTGCTCAGCCACGCCCCGTTAAGGATGTGTTGAATACTGTTCCAAAACTCCATGAAAGAGATTTAATTTTGAGAAGTGATGTTGGCGGTTTTGATGCTAAACGTAAAGAGTATGTCATGATGCTTGGTAAGAACCACGTGACACCAAAACCATGGTGTAACGTTTTAGCGAACGATCGTTTTGGTTCTGTTATTTCAGAAAAAGGCAGTGCTTATTCATTCTTCACAAATGCACACGAGTACCGATTAACTCCATTTAACAATGATGCAGTTTTAGATGGCTCTGGTGAAGCATTCTATATCAGAGATGAAACAACAGGTCAATATTGGTCTCCAATGCCTCAACCTGTTATTCCTGATAGAGATGACTATTACTACATTTGTAGACATGGTATTGGTTACAGTATTTGGGAACACTTCCATGATGGTATTCACACTGAGACTACAACCTTTGTTCCTCAAAATGAACCTGTTAAGGTTTTTTTGATTCGTGTCACTAACAACAGTGGTTATGATAGAAATTTGAGCGTGACAGGTTTTGTTGAATGGGTTTTGGGAGAACTTCGAGAATTGAATGCTCCTCACATTATTACGGATGTGGAAAGGACTGACAATAGTACTGCAATTATTGCTAGAAACAGTTTCCATATTCACTTGTCACACTTTGTTGGCTTTTTCTCAGTCATTGGTCACAAAGAAGGAACGCTCACTGGTGACAGAAACGAATTTATTGGTAGCAATGGTACTCTTGATAAACCTCAAGCAATGAGACAACAATACCTTTCAGGCAACGTTGGTGCTGCTTTCGATCCATGTGCCGCCATTCAAGTTCCAATTACTGTTGAAGACGGAAAGGTTGTTGAGGTTGCATTCATGATTGGTGCTAACTACTCGAGAGATGGAGCTAAAGATGTAATTTCACGTATTCGTAGTAACCTCATTGTGAGACAATTGCTGAACAGTGTTAAAGCCTTCTGGCATTACACATTGAATACCATTCAAGTTGAGACTCCAAATCCAGAATTGGACGTTCTTGCCAATGGTTGGCTATTGTATCAAGTATTGTCGTCACGTATTTGGGGTAGATCTGGTTTCTATCAATCTAGTGGTGCTTTCGGTTTCAGAGACCAATTGCAAGACACCATGGCAGTTGCATTTGTAATGCCACAAATTCTCAAACAGCAAATTCTGACTAATTGTGAGCATCAATTCGAGAAGGGTGATGTATGCCATTGGTGGCACGATGTTACGAACAGCGGTGTTAGAACAACATTTAGCGATGACTATTTGTGGCTACCATTTGCTGTTGCCCATTATGTAGAAATTACTGAAGACTACAAGTTGCTGCATGAAAGAATTCGATTCAGCAAGCTGAGAGAGATTGAACCTGGAGAAGAATCTGTCTACGATAGATTAGAATACACTGAAGACACTGCCTCCGTTTATGAACACTGTAAGCGAGCATTGAAATATGGCTTCAAATATGGTTCTCATGGTCTTCCATTGATGGGTTGTGGTGACTGGAACGACGGTATGAACTTGGTCGGTATTCATGGCAAAGGTGAAAGCGTGTGGTTGGCCTTCTTCTTGTATCATGTTCTTGAAAAGTTCGAACAATATATTTTGCAAACTGAGATTAAGGATGACGAGTTCTTGGAAGAATGTAGAAAGAATAGAGAATTTATCAAAGAAAACATTGAAAAGAATGCATGGGATGGTGAATGGTATCGTAGAGCTTACTTTGACAGCGGTGAACCATTGGGTTCTAAGGAGAACTCTGAATGCCAAATTGACAGCTTACCACAAAGTTGGGCCATCATGAGTGGTTGTGTCGACAAGAAGAGAGCCAAGATGGCCTTAACAAATGCTTATCAAAGATTGGTGAGACATGATTTGAAACTTATTCAATTATTCGATCCACCACTTCAATATCAAGAACCTTCTGCTGGTTACATTCAAGGATACGCTCCTGGTGTCAGAGAAAATGGTGGTCAATACACACATGCTTCCATTTGGTTCGTATGGGCCTATTCCATTTTGAAGGACTCAAAGAAGGTGTGGGACTTGTTCGATATTTTGAATCCAATCAACCATGCCAAGACCAAAGAGGATGTATGGAAGTACAAGGTTGAACCTTATGTTGTCACTGCAGATATTTATACTCTGATGGACCACGAAGGAGAAGGTGGTTGGAGTTGGTTCACTGGTAGTGGTGGTTGGTTCTATAGATTAATTTTGGAGAGATTGATTGGTATCAAGAAGCAAGGTAATTCACTCAAATTTGATCCATGTCCAAGAGAAGACTGGAAGAAATACTCGATCACTTATCAACACGGAAAAACAACTTACCAAATTCAAGTCATTCGGTCTGATGAAAATCACTTGACTGTGGACGGTGTAAAGAAGACTGATCCAACCAGAATTCCATTACAAGACGATGGCAAGACACACAAGGTTGAGATTTATTACAAGTATTAATATTGTTTGGTACGATAAGGAAATGTGCATGATTTTGTTTTTCACATGTTGGAATTACAATAATAAACCAATTTGTGACTTTTTTATGTACATGTGTGATGTTGTTGAGGATGTAATTGTTTTTGTATTAATCTTCTGCAATATACACCTTCTTTCGAGAAAAGATCTTAATAGCATCCTCAATCTCTTCCAGCTTTCGTTCTAACTGCGCCTTCTTTTGTTGCAAAGACATGGTGTCGCATAAAATTGGCATGCGGTTGATGGTTCCTTGAATCTCTTTCTTATTTCTTTCTAATTCTGAAAGTGTGGCAATGCGATCGCTTTCTGGAACTAATTTCATTCCTGGAGGACACTCGTCCTTCTTTCTCTGCTCTTCTAAAGCTTTTTCTTCTTGTTGCTTCCATTCTGCTTTCCTATCCAAAATACTATAACGATGTGAATAGAAAGTAGATCAATCAAAACAAGCCATCGATTTGAAATAGGTCAAAATGCAAACAGGTTAGGGTTTCCCAAAAATTTAAAAACCACTTACTACTTTGGGACCTTGCCAAACGTCTCAGGTTTATCAAACTCTTCGCCCTCTTTTTTCTGTGAGAGCTTTTGCTCTCCCTTTTTTGCGATCATTTTCAAATCTTTGGTTGCATTTTGAACAAGATAATTCTTTTCTTCTCGTTGAGTATTTAGAGGAGGAGTTGCTTCTTTTTTGGGAACAGCTGGTTTCTTAAACTCGTTTTGCAGTAATTCTTTTTCTCTTTTTACTTCGAAAGCCATTTCCTTCTTTTTCATGACGAGTTCACTTGCACGTTCCTTCATTGCTCCCGCTTTCAAATAATTTTCATTGACCGGATTTTCGGGAGTGTAATCTTGTTCCTTGATGTGCTTAACTTTTGACTCTACCACTTTATATTGAGGCAATTTGAATTCTTCTTTTTTAATTGACTCATTTTCCTTTTTCAATCGATTTTCATTTTCCTTCTCTCGGAGACTCTTCAAATTCTGAAGCATGTGATTTTTGGGTGTTTGGCCCTTTTTCTCTTGCAAACCCCGATAACCATTGACAGGATGAAGGAAATTTGCAACTTGACTCGAGTCCGAATGATGATGTTTGATCATGGCAATGATGATGATTTAACTGATGTAGTAAATGAGATGATAATGATGAAAATAAATTAAAGGCAATTTTTTAATAACCTATTTTCGTGTAGAAAATTTTGGAGGGAAAAACCGAATTTTAAATTTCCCGCATTTAAAATTACAATTACAAAAACACATTTAAAAAATCAGTTGCATTGTGCAATTTCTTATTTCAAGCAAAATCATCATCGACTTTACCAAATCATCGCCACCATGAATAATTTATTACAACCAAGTACTGCAGGTTCTCAAGCGACTACAACCAACAACAACAAATATGGCAACACTCTCACCACACCAATGAGTCCAGTATTCACTCCCGATGCAAGCGGCTCGGGAGGATCAGCAGCTCTTACACAACTGCAACCGGGATTGGCAGCATCTTTGAATCCAGAGTCTTGTGATTCCATGCTTTTTTTTGCAACGCAGGCTTTGGATAGACAGAACAAATTACTGCAGTTTGTGGATACCTTCAAATTTAATATCACCGAGTATGTCAAGAGTTTGCAAAGTTCCAAAAAAGCACTCGATCCCATCGATGAAGGAATGGCCTCTCTGGATGTTCGGGATCATCGAGAACTACAAAGTTTCTTATCGTTGATACATCATGCCTCTGTTCAAACCTCACATCAAAATGTTGTGATGCAGGAGAGAATGGAACGATTGAAATCAAAAGATTTAGACACCTTTGAAAAGACATGGAAACTCATTCGAGACTTCACTCAACAATATGTCAAATCAACCAAAAAATCCTTAAAAAAAAGAAAAAAACAACCACCGTCAAAGAATGATCAAGTGAGAGATATTAAGGAAAATCGAGGATTGAAAAAGAAGATTTATGAAGGAATGGATGAAATGAGAAGCATTATGGAGGAGTATGTCCATACACAACTCTTTTATCACAGCAAGTGTTTAGAAATGTGGGCCTTCGTTTGGGAAGAAGCCAACAGAAATCGAAAGGATGAAATTGCTCGAAGGAAGGAAGAAGAAGAGGAGGAAGACGAACGACTGTCACAACTTTTGAAGGAAACATCTTCTGTCCTACAACAATAAATGTCACGAATCTCTCTTCCTCACGTGCTTTTCTTAATTCATGCGAAGCGTCCAAGAAAATTGAAGTGAGAAAAAAATACCTAAATTTATTACTCTAACTTTCGAACAACATCTTCATCATCAGTGTTCTTTCCTCCAAAGAAAAGGTACTTGTACCCTCCGCCAATTCATCATCATCTTGTTGTCTTCTTCGTGTATCAACCACAACTCTTCTTTCTTCAACACCTCCTCTCTTCTTTTTTGCTCCGAACATTTCGACGATGATGATGATGCCTATGACTATCACCACAAATCCATCCTCTCCTAGTACTCCTCATAGTACAAAATCCTCTCCCTCCGCCTCCTCTTCCTTTCCAACTCTAACTCATTCTCTCCCAACAAGCACAACAACAAGCACGGTTGTTCCGAAACAAGTTTGCCTTCTCATTGATACGACCTCCATGATGCAACAATATTATGGCGACTTCTTAAAAAAAATAATTCATCCTTTTTTAGAAGCTCTTGCTGGAACTCAAAGCAACAATAATAATGGCAGTATCACTACTATGTCTTCTCAAGGAAAGAATGAAAATGTAACAACACAAATGAATTTGATTTCAAATTCGAACGTAGAATTTGGAGCAGTGTTATTTCAGAATCATCCTCCATTTGGAGATTTTTTGGTGAGAGTCATTCCATTTGTGAGAAATGTTGGATCAATTTCTCATTTACTTGAAGGTTTGGAAAGAAAATTTAAAGGAGGTAAGGTTTTTTTAAAATTTTGAAATTTTCAATTCGGTCATTTTGTCATTTTTTATCATGTTGGTGTAATCATTAATGATGGGATGTTTCCATCTTGTAAACATGATAATAATTGGATGTTTGGATTCTCTCTAATATTTGTACTATGATGTAATTCTTTGTCGATGAAATTTATCATGGACGTATTTTTGAAATATTGGTCTTGTATCAAATAATAATTATTTTGATGTTTCACACTCTTCAATTACTGTCAATGCACTATGATATAGGCGGTGTACGGGATACATGTCTTGCTGAAGCATTGGCTGCAGCTTACACAGATTTACAATGGGAAAAAGACTCTCTAAAATATTGCCTCATTTGCTCATCGACTCCATCCGACCATCCATGCACCTTACCGGGGCCATTTATTGGCAAACCTGCTTCATTTATCGTTCGAGAAATGGTTAAAAAAAGTGGAGTATTATTCTCAATCATTACACCTTTTCGTAGTGCCAAATGGAAATCTATTTTTGAAAGTAGTAAGATACTTTCAGGAAAAGGACCCATTGGAGTGTCTGTGAAAAAAGAAGGCCCCAACAGTATGGAGACTGAAAATTTGAGTCATGAAAAATTGAATATCGCGAATGGATGTTTTGAAGGAACAAATTTATCTCAAGAAGTTTCATCAAAAGAACACCTTGTACGATTAATTTTGGAAAATGCTGCCAAAGTAACCAATACTAAGACTTTAAATTTACTAGGATTTAAGGATACTTTTATTGAATTGAGAGGAATTGTTTTAAATCCACAAAGTTATGCTGCAAGTACTGCCACTGCGACAACAGGAGCGAGCGCCACTACTATGACGACTACTGGTGCAAGTACTGCTACAAATGGTAATAACCTACAACCATTGCTTCCATTCACTATTACCACAAAACATTCACCGAGTCCGACCACAACGGGCTCTTCTCCAGGCATGGTGTCACAACAAACTGGAACAAAATTGTCACCCTCTTCGAAAGATGCTACTACTTCAATTATTGGTACCACAACCGAGTCCAAAGATTCTACTGGTTCCATCTCGAGTCCAATCTCAACCATCTCATCCCCCAATACTTCCACAGCTACAACACCAGAAAACACTTCAACAAGTTCAACCACCCATCAACAAGGCGTATTTATTCACAAACTTACCCTAAATGTTGAAGGTTCCCATCTCTTAGGATCTTTTGAACTTTATGCCAAAACCAATGATTTTGAAAATGTTTCCAAATGGCCCAAAGAATATGAAATGAAAAAATCTGTCTATTTGATTAAGCAAAATGGATTAGTATTGATCATTAAGAAGCAAATACCACTGTGTTACTGGAAGGTTGTATCAGAGTCTCCAAAGTTTCTCCAACACATGAAAGCCATCATTTCCAAGAAATTTTGTCTTGTCATTAACATTGATGAGAAGAAATCCATGATTGTATATCCGTATCAGATTTATAAGGCCATACGAAAACAACAACCTCTTTCCACAGAGGCATCAAAATCAGAACCTATTTTTGTTTCCTGTGTTTTGGATACACCTATTGTGGAGAAGCTTGTCGATCGAATTCAAGTATCTTCCTCATCCTCAACCTCAACAACGAACCCAACAGCATCCGCTACAGCATCTACTAATGTACCGACAAGTACCACAAGTGCTGCAACAACCACAGCGGGCACTGCCACCATTGCAAATCCTGCCACACTCGCACCGACCATTGTCAAACCACCAAGCACCGCCTCTGGCACCACTGCTGGAATGCCTCCAGGAATGCCTATTGGTCTTTATCCATTTCCTTATGCCATGGGTATGATACCAACGGGAAATATGGCCATGATGAATTTACCGTATGGTCAATTTATGTTGGGAATGCCAAATCTTACAGGTGGAGTGACACCAATGCCAACATCAACCACTGGAAATATTGTCAATACAACTACAAACACAAACAACAACAACAATAATTCTGGCAACAAAAAGTAGCAGTAAGATACAACTGCGCCAAACAAATGAAGAAAAAGAGCGATTGTTATTGTGATGTGGTGAATTTTAAATTTTGAATCTACTTGTGGAGCAATGCAGATGCTGCAACAAGAAAATTGTTGTAAGAGAACTTGGTGATGGACGACACGGACGACACATTCTTTGGTAGTTGTTGTAATTGAAAGCAATTGGTGGGAAATAACACCCCAAACACAAAGACATCAACCTTTCCGATCGGAACTACAGTGACGTTGAGGAAATGAGTCACCATTAAGATCTTGAAAATTTATTGTTAAATTGGATCATCAAGATAAAAAGGAAGCAAAGGAGGGTTTGTCGCGCGTGATCTACATTCCATCATGATTTCGGACATGATCTGATCAGGAATCTTCTCACAAAAGAAAGTCACCTTTCTTCATTTCACAAAAAGAAAAAAACCTCGAAACCTCACTTTGAAATGGTCACCACCAAACCCTCAACACCTGCTACCGCATCGTATCCCACACTCATGTCGAAACGGCGTACCTACAATCCCTTATTACATGTTGCAGCACCTACTCTCAACCATACTGTCTATGAATCCTCTCCTCATGGTGCCATGAAGAATAGTGTTACGGGTACCAAGGTATCAAAAGCTTTATCATCCACTGATGCCATCACAACACCAAAAACCACAGAAACAGCAACAAACTCCTCCACATGCTCAACTGTTTGATTTCCCAATTCGAATGTACCACACAGTGCTAGAGAAATACAATGTCCTTATGATATTCCAGTACGATCCAACAGCCAAACCACAGTATATACTTCCGCAGTGCCAATACAGAATGATCCTCTCAAGTCGACTCCAAAAGAAGGTTTTTACAATAAGTGTTGCTCAAAAACAGGAATTCCTTTGTTGAGAAGTCACACAGATTCATCTTCGATACAACGAAACACCCAAAAGTGTCGGTCTCCACCAGAGGACTTGCCTACCACCCGCCAAGAACGAACAACAGAACAATCCTTGATGGGCATCTCCAAACCACCTCACAAAATGTGCGAGAATTTGTTGAGAAACCACCACTACCACCAAACCCTCAATAACATTTCACAATCAACACAACCCTCATCATACCTATGTTAAACGTAAACGAACATGCAGTTCCATCACCAAAGAAGAATTACTCTCAGTACTTCATTTGTCACAAACTCAAGCATGTCAGATTCTAGGTTGTAGTGTTTCCACAGTGAAGAGAAGATTCTATGATCTGAAAGAAGAAATTGGAATCTCTCAATGGCCTAAGGATTATTTTGAGTTGGCCACCTGTAATAAGGATGTTTTCAATAAGATTTATCCCATGTCGTTGAGTTTTATTTTGAATCCTTCGGAAAAGACGAAATAAAGGACAAATGTTTTTCATTATCATTGATTTGGATTGGTTGACACTCTATCTCAGCCATTGGATGAGAAAGGAATTAGTCCAAACAAAGACGATCCTATCTTGGAAATATTCTTTCAGTTCATTTGTTTTCACACGAATTCATTGATACTATTCTTGAAACAAAACACAATAACAGAGTTCACCAGTGCAAACACCATTTTGCTGGATGCATAGTCTGTTGCCAATGCGCCAAGTTTACAAAACGACGAGATTTTTTGTGGCCGGGTTTTTGCATGGAAACGAGAATCCTTCAAACAAAAAAAGCGCTCATTGTCCTCACGCTTGTCGGTTCTTTAAAGAATTTTAAGCCGACAATCAAAACCTCCCCTCAATATTGCATGCATTTAGCCTTGGTTGTTTGTTTTTTAAATCGCGCAACTTCCTCATTACCATCATCATCATCATCACACTATTAATTTCAATTTCGTTCTCACAAAATAGAATATCAATAATAACATGGCTCCTCCATTGCAAGAAGGAATGATCTCTTCGTCCTCATCGGATGAGGAACATCATCGTGATGATGGCAAGCGCTCAAATCATTCTCTGCCAGCCACTGCAACCACAACGGTTTCCCAGAATTCAACTCTCTCAGATCATCATGTGATGGCGAATAATAATAATACCAATAACCAACATAACAATTCATCATCAATGGAACGAAATGGTACGACCTCATTAAGTCCGCTTCAAATTGAAACCATTCCCAACCCGACCACTAATGATTCAAAGAGTAGTACCAACCAACAAAACCCACCTTCTTCAGCAGTCTCTTCCGCTTCATCAGCTTCTTTCAAGAGTCCCAAACATTCACCAACTCTACCACCTACGCCGACTCAAATCAAACCAATTGAAACCAAGGAATGGCAAGTCGACTTTAGAAAGTTCCCAATTGTTGATCCTAAACAAATTGCTGAAGGATCTAAGAAGAAGCTCCGCAAAAAGGTTTCCAAGTTCTATGAGAAGCAAAATGAATTGGTGGAAGGATTCGCTGAACTCTACACAAATACAGTGACCAAGGAATTCCTCAGAGAGTCCGATGATGAAGGATGCGAAGGTGAATCATTCATCAAGAAGGGTCAACAAAACATTTCCGGCAACGATTCTGGAGACGACGCAACCAATGGCAATAACAATACAAGCATTAATGTGGGAGATGAACACATTACGAACAAACAGGATGTTGATCCATCCTCGAGTAGCAGCAAGGAGACGAGATATGCCAATTTCTGCATTCAAGCAAGTTTTTGGGTCAATGTTTTGTTGGTATTGTTGAAAGTTTCTGCCAGTTTCTTGTCCTTGTCGCTCTCAGTGATTACCTCAACAATTGATTCCTTGTTGGATTTGGTATCTGGTTTAATTCTATTCTATACAAACCGATTGAAGAACAAGAAGAGTGATCTTCATTTGTATCCAGTTGGAAAGGAACGATTGGAACCACTGAGTTTTATCATCTTTGCCACTTGTATGGCCACTGCGAGCTTGCAAATTATTAAGGAAGGATTTGTGTCCATCATTACAGGACTTGTGACTGGAGATCCTTATTTACCAACCAATTCTGAAAATATTGTCGAGTGGTTGAGTAAGCCAGAGTTATTGAATGGATCAATGGATTGGATGTTGGGTGTGAAGATTCCTGCTCTCTTCAAAATGATATTTTATATTTATGGTTTACTGGTTCTTATTATTGCCATTGTTGCCAAGACCATTCTCTATTTCTTGTGCATACGAGCTAAGGAGTCACCTTCATGTCAAGCCTATGCATTTGACCATCGTAATGATATTATGAGTAATACCTTCCTTGTATTTTCTCTCTTCATTTCACAATGGGTATGGTGGTTTGATCCATTTGGTGCCACCCTTCTCTCCATTTATATTATTTATGGATGGGTCGAAGAATCTTTGGAACACGTGACCAAACTTGTGGGATTAACAGCCGAGTCCGAATTTATCAAGAAAATTACATTCATTGCTGTCAATCACAGTGAAAAGATTATGAAGGTTGAAACAGTTACAGCTTGGTACAGTGGTATGAACATTATCGCAGAAGTACATGTTGTGTTGCCACCTGACATGTCTCTTCGTGAAGCGCATAATATTGGTGAAGATTTACAATTGAAAATAGAGTCTGTTCCTGAAGTAGAGAGATGCTTTGTACATTTGGACTTTAATGATACTCATCGAATTAACAATAAACAATTGCAGTAGTAGAATGTATAGTCATTTATAATTGATCAGCTATTGATATTGGTCCAATTATTTAATACACTTGTAAAGATCTACTGATGATAATTTAATGATCATTAAAAAGATTATTTCTTCTCTCCTAATCGTTCATTGTCTTCCTTCATGAGTTGGGAATGATAAGCATCCCAATCAATTTGTAAATTTCCACCAAATTCAGTTGGCAAATGATCTGGGCCAATCTTGTTTTTGAGCTCATCCATCTTGATCATCATGTACTTGGCCTTTAATTCTTCAGACAAGAAAGGTGAAAGGAAGGCCCAAATCAAGTTAATGGTCCATGGTGCATTCAATACAAACACTCGTCCTAATCGCTCTGGATAATAGAACCCAATGTCGTCAAAAATGTCTTTCTAGAGAACGTACAAGGCATGATTGTGAGAATTGAGCACACATGTTGAACATGCACCAACACTAATTTTCAGAGTACAAATAACTTACCATTCGTCTCACTAAATTTAAAGAAATACCAGAAACATCAACAACCCAATTCATTTGGAAATTATCGTCTTTGAAACGGCCTTCACGAATGAAATTTCTTTCGTGTAAATAAATTAAGTGACGGAATTTTAGACTCTTATTCTCGTCAGAGTTATCGAGTAAGTCTCTTGCAACCCACATGTAAAACAGTGGCATTCCATTATCAGAGGCATAACCAGTGTCAATAAACATTTTTGATTTGGCTGTTGTTTCCAAAAACTCTTCAAATCGAATATTTTCAGGTTTATATTCGTGTCTCCAATTCAACATTTTAATAATCAACCGAGTACTTTCATCCAATACCCAAGCATGACCTCTCAAATATCTATAAATTGCAAAATCGTCCAATAATTTCCCTCTCAACACATTAAACTCCTCAGCGCTCATTGGTTTCAATGTATTCTTCTCTTGTTTTACCACTTGAGGAATATCTCTTGATGTTTTCAAAGCTTTTGCCACACGAAGGGCAGAATTCGTAACTGAAGAGCTAGTAGTAGTATTATTACCGTCTGTAGTAGCATCATCTCTATTTTGATCCGTTGTTGTCGATGAAGCAGCAACAATACTCTCTCCATCCTGAACCAAAACTCTCACCAACAACACCAACACTCCGTCCATTAAATCTAACTGCTCTTGAGTGGCATCTTTGGTGTATGTTTTATGAAGGCTCCTCACTTTCTCGAGCTCAGGAAAATCCGTCAATTCAAAATGATTGCATGCCGATGATGAGGATGATGATGAGGATTCGGTTTTCAAGCGCAACATTTTTTTTGGGAACTTGACAACTGTTGTGTTTATGAATCAAAAGTTTCAAAAGTTTATTTTTATTGATTCATCACACGAACAACAATCACATGACGATCCAATATTTCATCTCAATAAGGTCACACGAGTGCTGCATGAATGGTTGGTACCGTTGATCCAACCATGGAGAATTAAAAAAAGGAATCTTTTGTTGGATTTAATTGGGTTCTCTCTTTTTGAATCTTTTTAAAAAACAAACCCAACAACAAAATGAACATGGCCACGACGACAAAACCTCTTCCGACTCTTCCATCATCTGTTGACCCTAAGGTTTCATCATCATCAACCACCCACCACATGGAAAAGGGTTCCTCTCAAGATGTCATATCGTCATTGTCGTTTGCTTCTTCTTCACCACCACCTATGGTTGCTTCTCAAATTGTCATGACATTGAAAAATCGTGATGATTCTAATCCTACCAAGAGTGCTTGTTCCAATGAAAGTGATGATGATGATGATACGATCAATGATTTAAATCATTCTGAATTTATTGCGAATCAATCTTCTGAACTGGATATTGCAAGAAGATCATTTTCAAATGGTTTCAATAGGATGATTCCCTCCCATCCATCATCATTGGACCCAAAAAGCTCAAAATTGTTGACATTCGACAGAAATGGTCATGAAGCCAAGACTCGATTTGTCTTATCGATCGATGGTGGTGGTATTCGAGGAATAATTCCAGGTTCTATCTTGGCTTCTCTTGAAAAAGAAGTCATTCGTGAAATTGTCAAACATTTCGATCAGTTGGGAGAAAAGCCTCCTGTTCACAATTTTGCCTTGACCTCTTGCTTTGATTTAATAGCAGGTACCAGTACAGGAGGAATTATTGCATTAGGATCAGGAATTTCACCCAATCATTCAAGATTTAATTTCAAATATAATGCAAGTGATTTGGGTGATTTGGTAGGTTTTAAGTTTTCAATTATTAATGTAACCATGATGTACAAATTGTTTCCAAAAGTACACAAACAATGGTTCTATCATTTTCTCCAAAGAAAACAAACACAACAAATTGAGAGAATTTTTGACATCATCAAGGTACGACCCAAGTGGACTAGAAAGTGTATTGACACAATATTTTGGAACTTACAAATTGAGTGATTTAGTCATTCCCGTTCTTGTTACAAGTTTCGATCTGAATCGACAAGAATTAGTCGTTTTTGACAGTGAAAAAGCAAAACCTCAAGGAGAATTGACACAAAGACAATTACCATCCGATTATTATTTACGTGATATTGCATTGGCAACGTCAGCTGCTCCAACCTTTTTCCCCATTCGAACGATTGAATCAATCACTGATCCAAGTGACAAGCATGATTACATTGACGGTGCTGTCACAGCGAACAATCCTACCATGCTGGCTTATTTGAAAGCTAAAAAACTCTATCCAGGTGACAACATTTATGTCATTTCATTGGGATGTGGATATGAAAATATTGAAAGACCTGTTTTAGAAGGAAAGTTAGAATGGGCTAAAACCATTAGTTCTCTAATGATTACGGGTGCTTCGAATTTAACCGAGTCGTTAATGCAACAAATGGTTGAATTGTCACCCAATGACAAATATTGGAGAATTGATGTCAAATTGGATCAATGTCATCTTGATGTGACTTCGGAAGACTTTTTGAAAAGTTTAAAAATTATTGGAACTAGTTTGAGAACCAATGACGATCATGCTTACAAAACCATTCGAGACACTATTATTGATTTCTATGCGTCTAAAAATTTTTATACTTGTTTTCGACTCATCGAAGAAGTCGAACAACAATTAGAGAGTCCAAAACTTCGAAAAAACGGTCATATTCGAATTGATTTAAGCGACAAGGGACTCACTCCAATTGCCTTATGGGAAGTGGTTCATTATCTTAAAAATCAAATTTCATTCGAGAGTATTTATAAATTGGACCTCAGTGGACAAGAAATTACAATTGAAATATTAGAACAATTATTGTATTTGAGAACAGGAGAAGCTCCTTCAAAGCACAAGAAAAAACATCCTTCTCTTAAAAGGAAAGAAATGGTGACAATCGATGCTAATAAGCCTTTAGCAAATGCCCCTCTGATCAAACGATTTATCATGAGGGATTGTAAAATTTCTGGCCAGGTTCTCACATGGCTCATTCATCAGAGTGACATATTGTATGAATATTTGGATCTTGTGGGATGTGTGAAATGTAGTGAATGTGATTCCGGATTTTTAGATTCTCTGTGTGTCATTGCAGAGAAGGAAGGTGTCACATTGGAGGGTAAAGCTTGGTGGTTGATCGCAAACCATTATAGATTTTTTGAAAAATTTGAGAAGGCAAGAGTTGCATTTTGGAAAGGAAGCAAATTGGGAGATGTCGATTGCGAATATCTGGAAAGTTTGATGGGTTATTACATGGATGTCAACTTGTCACTTGGGGAACGAATAGAAAAACTTCATGATTTGCTGAAAAAGAGAAATGAAAGAATGACTTACATGATGGGCGTGGCCATTGAGAAGAAACAAACAGAAGAAGGATCCATGATTGAAAAATCTCCCTCTTTACCTAATTTGGAAAATGCAAGTAGTGGTTCCTTAAAACGCAATTCCACTGTCTTGATTTCAAATCATGTCACAACATCCTTACCTGTTGAAGAAGACCCTCTTCCAATGGAATTTGTCAATTATGAAATTGAGAACCATCATGCATTATGTGTCGATTGGTATGTGAGAACGAGTCAATCGATCAACACAAATGATTCAGCACAACCGTGGATTCAAAAGTCGAAAACAAGACAACTTTCATTACTACCTGCAGCGAATACTCCTCTCATTGCGAGTTTCAGAAATATGAATTATGCTTCTTCATCATCCTTACAAGAGTTTCAATTGCTAACCAAAAAGGAAAGAAAGGAACAGAAAAAGCTAGAGAAGCAGTTGGCTAAAGAAAAGAAACGACAGGAAAAGTTGGAACGAAAGAATTCTTCGTCCACCTCACAACAACAACAGAAATGAGCAAACCATTCTTATGATCCACCATCTGTGAATTACCTTGAAAACACTCTGGCCGACAAAGAGGATAATTTCTGTAGTTTGAACATCAACAACAATATACAGAACAATAATAACCATACGATATACACTTCAATGGAGGATATATTTAATATCTATCTATACACAATGATGGCCTTCAGAGAGGCCTTCTTGATTCCTATAATATTCTTTAGACGATGATTCAAAGATTTCATTCTTTACATAGAGTATTTCCATAGAGAATATATTGAGGTGGTTGCACTGAAAATTCAAAGTTTGGATTTTGATGTTCGAAAAGGATGACAAACGCTGAACCTCCTTCAAAGTGACCAAATTCTTGTCCCTTTTTCAAATGGACTCCATTCTTAAACTCTTTGATATGAGCCTTTGTGTGGTAACTAAAGTTCGTCACAGGCACCATTTTCTCATCTTCATCCTCTCTTCTCAAACTTTCAATCAAGACATTGGTTTTCAATTTGGGATCAAAATCCAACACAATGGATCCCACTGTACTTGATCCGAAGGGAATGAAGTAAAAAGCACCTCCTTTCCATTCTCCTTCCAAGATCACTCTTTCATTGTACAACACTTGTGGATGATTGAATAAATTCTTGAGGGTTTGGGTTTTGGGTTTGGGTTTTGGTTTGGGTTTGGGTTTTGGTTTGGGTTTGGGTTTTGGTTTGGGTTTGGGTTTTGGGTTTGGGTTTGGGTTTGGGTTTGGGTTTGGGTTTGGGTTTGGGTTTGGGTTTGGGTTTGGGTTTGGGTTTGGGTTTGGGTTTGGGTTTGGGTTTGGGTTTGGGTTTGGGTTTGGGTTTGGGTTTGGGTTTGGGTTTGGGTTTGGGTTTGGGTTTGGGTTTGGGTTTGGGTTTGGGTTTGGGTTTGGGTTTGGGTTTGGGTTTGGGTTTGGGTTTGGGTTTGGGTTTGGGTTTGGGTTTGGGTTTGGGTTTGGGTTTGGGTTTGGGTTTGGGTTTGGGTTTGGGTTTGGGTTTGGGTTTGGGTTTGGGTTTGCTTGGGTTTGGGTTTGGGTTTGGGTTTGGGTTTGGGTTTGGGTTTGGGTTTGGGTTTGGGTTTGGGTTTGGGTTTGGGTTTGGGTTTGGGTTTGGGTTTGGGTTTGGGTTTGGGTTTGGGTTTGGGTTTGGGTTTGGGTTTGGGTTTGGGTTTGGGTTTGGGTTTGGGTTTGGGTTTGGGTTTGGGTTTGGGTTTGGGTTTGGGTTTGGGTTTGGGTTTGGGTTTGGGTTTGGGTTTGGGTTTGGGTTTGGGTTTGGGTTTGGGTTTGGGTTTGGGTTTGGGTTTGGGTTTGGGTTTGGGTTTGGGTTTGGGTTTGGGTTTGGGTTTGGGTTTGGGTTTGGGTTTGGGTTTGGGTTTGGGTTTGGGTTTGGGTTTGGGTTTGGGTTTGGGTTTGGGTTTGGGTTTGGGTTTGGGTTTGGGTTTGGGTTTGGGTTTGGGTTTGGGTTTGGGTTTGGGTTTGGGTTTGGGTTTGGGTTTGGGTTTGGGTTTGGGTTTGGGTTTGGGTTTGGGTTTGGGTTTGGGTTTGGGTTTGGGTTTGGGTTTGGGTTTGGGTTTGGGTTTGGGTTTGGGTTTGGGTTTGGGTTTGGGTTTGGGTTTGGGTTTGGGTTTGGGTTTGGGTTTGGGTTTGGGTTTGGGTTTGGGTTTGGGTTTGGGTTTGGGTTTGGGTTTTGGGTTTGGGTTTGGGTTTGGGTTTGGGTTTGGGTTTGGGG